CAATGGCAGCGTGCTGAAAAATTAACACCGAAGCCTTCTATCGGGTCTTTTTGGTCCGCGGCGGTGGGGCGCGCTTTCACCGCTCGGCGCTTCAGAGCAATACGGCCAGGACGTCAAGGGAGGTAAATAAATACTGTCCCGAAATGCGGCAGCGATTTGCCGCTTTTCCTGTGAGCACGGGGAAGTCGCGCGGGAATCTACCATGAGTGGGCCTGTGCGTCCGTCCCCACACTGCCGCGGCATGCCGATGCCCCGAATGCCCGAATGATTGACGAGCGGAAGGAAACGAGGGTGACTGACTGGACTGGCGACGTAGACTGCCCGATTCTCGAGAGTACAAAGTCGGGGCGCGATTTGAAACGGCCGGCCGGCGGCGCGCTCGCCCGAACTGTGTAATACGAGCATAATATCGACTGGCGTGAGAAAACAGGCAGCGGTACGAGCTGAGTGCTGACAGTTTAGCTTAAAAGGGCCGCGCCGTGCCTTCGTGGTGCCGCTCTTATGGGCTGAACCTTCATACTAGCAGATCGTGCAAACGAGATCACGCCCGTGGCTCACCACGCCAGCCAAGCTCACACGCACAATTTTACCCGAGACGTCGGAGAGTTTCTTACAGATGAACTTTTCCGTAAGATTTCATGTTTGTATATGTAACGAAAAACTACACATTTTGCCCAAGTGCTGTGCAAAATTACGAACAAATTTGTTTGATCTTCAAAAAAAAAAAATAAAACTCTGACGTTTCGTCCAGAATTTGTGAGAAATCACTTAGAGTGCGGTGCACCGCGGCGATGGCTCGACTGCTCACGCGGCGGAGGATGCAAATCGCTCCAATTAGAAGCTCCTTAATAGCCAATTTTCTAATCCACCGAGACAGGGCGCCGACGCACGACTCGCGACTTGCTAATTCGCCGTGTCGGGGCAGTCCGGTGGGGGAGGGGGGCTACCGAATATTAATATAATAGACGCGACAGCACAGCAGCGGCCCGGCCCGGCACGGCGGGGCACAGCGGTGGTGGTTGGGCCGTCAGTAACGAGCGGCCGATGTAAAATTCAAATAAGTCGTTTGGCAGGCTGGCAGGCTGTTGGGGCCGGGCCGGGCAGCAAAGGGCAGACGAGCGGCGAAACAAGCGAAACGGCGTCGCACCGCAGCACTCGTGTGAAGTCCTTCTTGAAGCAAGGGGGAATCACCTCGAGGCATACGCTTCAAGAAGTGCGTGGTCTTCAAGCGCAGATCCACGCTTGAAACACGCATTTGTTTTCCAATCGAGAGGTCGCGCGGCCGGAGGGCGTGAGTCTCTCCAGCCAAAGCCTCGACCTCCCGCGCCATACACGTCAGCTTCTTCTAACAGTGCAGGCACACGAGTGTCGGTAGTCGTTCGGGGCACCTCGGCCTGATACGAGGAAAATGTGTAGCCTGGGACGCAGTCGAGCCCGGTCCGGCCACCGGGATGGGCACAGCACTGCACAGCACGGACACGGCATGGGGGACGAATTACCCATGGAAATCGTAGTCCGCTCCGGGTCCTCGGCATGGCATGACATGGCATGGCATGGCATGGCATGGCATGGCATGGCTTGGCCGCAGTGCTGCCATTCTGTTTCGAGTCCCTCCTCCGCGCCGTGCCGCGCCGCGCCTTGCCGTGCCGTGCCCTGCCGAGGGCTCACGCGATAGCGCGTGCTGGCCCGCACACGATGACATTCAACCCTTCGTGAGCGTGGGCATGTGCGAAGCACTGTACGTACCACTAGCTGCACTCTTTTCGGATATCGGGCGCTCTTTTTTTTTCAAAACGAATCGACCATCGAACCAAATGATGCGGATCCCCTTCCTACCGAGGACACACGACGGGCAGGGCGGCGCTTGTGGTCCTTCGGGAGCATGATTTTGGCATCCGAAGCGAATGCCCACGAGCATGTTTAACCCGATGGGGCGCGGCGGCCCTCTTTGACAGCGCCCGAAAATTGGCCCATTGTTGTGGCCTCACTGCGGTGGTCCGGCTGGTCACATGAATGCCCCCTCCTCTCCGTAGGCGCCGTAGGCAGGCGCGGCGTGAGGCATTTCCTGGTCGGCTTAATTCGACTGGCGTGGCGGTGCTGCGCGGCGCTGCGCGACCGCCGCTTGACCCGCACCCCGCGCCGCGACGCGCCACCCCCGTCCTCTCGGCCCACTCGGCCCGATCGGCTCGCGAGCCGCGTACAATTGCCTCGTTGGGCTGTCAATAAAACGGGCGGGGTGTCACCGCGCAGCACCGCGTCACTTCCAGTCCGGGATGGCGCGGCCCGGACCGGACCGGACCGCCGCACTGCCTAACTCGGTCGGCGCGGCAACTTCCGTGGCAACCACTCGCTCGCACTCGCTTCGCACTCACTGCCATCGGGGGCGCTTTATTTGATTCGCACACAAGCAGCAGTGTCGCGCGCACGGCGGGCCATCACCATCACTCACGGGCTGACGCCCGCGGGGCTGGGGGCTGCGGGGGCTGCGGGGGCTGCGGGGGCCGCCGGGAGGATGCGCAGGGAAAGACAGCGCCCGCCCGGGGAGTGTGCGAAAGAGAATTCGCGTCATCCTGATGAAGACACACTCCTCGCCTGAGGTCAGTGCGTGGGCGGGGCTCTCGCCGGGGCCCCAGCGAGGGCCGGGCGGCGTGGCGGGGTGGGGTGGGGCGGGGCGGGGTGGGCTCAGGGGCAACTCTCTGCTCTGTGTGCTCTGTGGTTTGTCCCTCGGGCCATCTAGGGACTCGTCCAGGGAGGACACGGCGGCCCAGGTGGCTCCAGGGAGGGTCCGACCCACCCACCCCACTTTGTACTTTGCCGAGTTGTTTATCCTGTGTGAAATTCGATTCATGAGTGGCGCCGCTTGAGGCTGCTTGCGGCCAAGAAACAACCTTCCGGAGGTTCCGCTGGCCCGCCACTGTGCCGCGGTCGCCCCCCAGCGGCCGCCTGAACGCCCCGGGCCTCAGTGCCGTATCGCGCGCCTCGCCCCGACACGCCAGAGTGCCAGAGTGACATGGCCCTTTCGCGAGCCGTGCGGGCGGTCCCAGCCCGACCCAGCCCGACCAAGCTCGTCCCCGCGGGCGCGAGGCGAGGCAGGGCGTTGTCCTGCTGGCGGCTGCAGAGCCAGGAGCCCCAGGGGCAGAGAGCCACCGACACGGGCCTCGTGGAGCTCAGCGCGACGCAGTGCTCCAGTTGACTAATGCCGAGAGTCGCGTTGGGCGCTCTACCTTTCTCGCACTCGTAGGGCGTCCCGTAGAGCTCGTTTAACTAGGAACAGTCTGGTACTTTTAACTGGACCGTCCTTTCAGTGTAGGTGCGAGAGAGACAGAGAGAAGAAAACGACTCTCGGAATCAGTCTGCAACACTCCGTGCCGGCCGCGCCGCCCCGGGCGGCCTTTTCGGTCTTCAGAGCGCACAGCGACGCACAGCGCACGGCAACGAGAAAACTTTCCTTTCCTCGCGTCGCTTTCTGTCAGTGTGGCGGTCCGGCGGCCCGGCGGCCTGGCCGTGACGCGCCGCGACTGGCCGCGGACCGACGTGCAACGCGACGCACTCCACGTGCTCCACGTCTCCGTCTCGTATTTTGTTGTTTGTTTCGGATCGGCTGACAGTGACGCTCCGTCTTCGAGTATGAGAAAGACGGCGGGGTGCTCCATCGGTTGAGGGCGTGCCGCGCCTGGGGCGGGGCGGGGCGGGGCGGGGCGCGTCACTAAGAAATTGGCCAATCCCGTCGAAGAGGAGCGGCACCGCGACACGGAGACGGCCAAGACGAACAAAGCGCGGAGCCGTCGCCGCCTCTCTCTGTGAGTCGATACGCAGCAATCTTTTGGAAAGAAGAGATGTCGCCGCCGTGTCAGCGCAGTGGTTAGCGACCTTGGCTCTCACCGAGCTCTCACCCTTCGGACCCCAAGTTCGTTTCTAAATTCGTCAGATTTTTTCTTTCTTTTCGTCTGCGACTATTCCAGTCGTTACAGCCACCTATCGGAATGTGCAGCAAACTCTCGTTCTTCGCAGGTAAAATTTGTGAGGACTAACTTTCATGTCGACTGTTGAAGCAATCTTTGCGGCCGAAGCCATTGGTATTGCTGTGCTCACTAAATTTCTCAGCTAAAGAAATAACAGCGTTCGCTGTGAAAGCCTATCTGCGTTTTTTTTTTTTTTTTTTTTTTTTGAGTGAGTGAGATTGACGACACGGCGCAGCGAATCTTGGCGCAAGACTCGCGGCCGCGAAACGCGAGACGCGGAACGAGATCAGGAAGGGAATGGGCGGCGGAGCATCGCGGTGGCAGTGGCGTGGAAATCCACTTACGGCGCCGCGCCGCGGTACGTGAGCAGAGTGCGCCGCGTCGGGTAAAACACATTCTCCTCAATAACGAAAGCGAAAACAAGAAGTCGGGAGGGACATTTCGGCTCGGGTGCAGGGAGCGCTGGCACCCACCGCGCGCTAATCTTGATGAGGACGCTGCTACACCACGCCACGCCATACCCTGCTAGGGCGTGCCGTGCCAGGGCGTGCCGTACCAGGGCGTGCCGTACCAGGGCGTGCCGTGCCAGGGCGTGCCGTGCCAGGGCGTGCCTTGCCAGGGCGTGCGTCACAGTGTAATGGAGGCGCGACAAACACGGGGCGATTTGGGCGGGCGGCGGGCCGAGGCGAGCCGCCAGGGACAGGACAGGGGACACCGCGCGGCCAGCGATAGATAGCGGAGCGCGGAGCGGACCCTGGGCAGGGCAGCACTCATCGAGGGAGCCGCCGGAAACACCACCCCGCCCCGCCCCGCCCCGCCCCGCCCCGCCCCGCTGGCATGCGACACCAGCCGCACCAGCTGCTCGCCTTGGGTCACACGAGCCCTTAGAACGCAGGGCGCTCTGGCAGGGCAGGGCTCGGCGGGGCTCGGCGGGGTCGCGGCGTCAAGGTGACACCGCCGACTACACGGCGTGCACGGCGTTCACGGCGTTCACGGAACGCGAGGACGGCGAGGACCGACAAGGTGGAGCAGGCTTACCTATCTGTGGCACGTCGTACTGTCTGTTGCCGCGGGTGGTGCGCAACATGTGGTGGTTGACGAGGTCCTCGCCGGGGCCGAGCTCTTCGTACGAGGCGTGGTGGCCGAGGCCGTGGCCGTGCACGCCGTGGCCATGCATGCCGTGGCCGTGCATGCTGTCGCGGCCGTCGCGCTTGCGCCAGGGCAGCGACGGCAGCACCGCGTTGTACAGCAGGTGCTTGGGGTGCGGTGGCGGCGGGGGGAAGTCGTCGAGGCCGAGGGCCCGCGCCGCCGCGCCGCCGCCGCCGCTGCCTCCGCCACCGGGATGAGGGGACAGCAGCCACCGCTCGGCCGCCTCGCCGATCTCCGCGTCCGCGTCGTCCTCGTCCGTCGGCGCCTCCGCGAAGCGCAGCTGTCGTCGCAGCCGAGGGCCGAGCGCGGCGGCGCGCATCAGGACCAGCTTCTTGTCGGGCTGCAGCGGTGGTGTCTGCGGCTGGGGCTGCGCGTGCGGCTGTGGCTGCGGCCCGAGCTGCGGGCTGGCGGCGTGGTCACGGGTGTGCGCCGCGTGCCCCGTGTGCTGGCTGGCCAGCAGGCCCTCGCAGCGCGGCGCCACGCACGCCAAGCAGGCCATGATGAGCACCGCCAGCAGCACGCCGTGGCGACCGGCGGCGCTTGCCAGAAAGGCCATGGGCCCCCAGGACGTGAGCCCCGAGGCCGGGGGCGCCGGGGGCGCCGGGGGCCCCGCGACAGGGGCCCCGGAAAGCTGCGCCAGGGGCCTTGGCTGCCTTGGCCCTCGCCTCGGCGGCCAGGGCGCTTGCCTCCAAGGCGCCATGGAGCACTGGAGTGGAGTACTGCTAGCGGTGCTAGCGGTGCTAGCGGGCGCTGCTGCAGCACATGGCGCCCGCCAGGCCGCGGCACATCCCCGCTACTGAGCCGCACTCTGCGCGCCGCGTCCCGCCGCGTCCCGCCGCGTCCCTAACCAGCCCCCCCCTAGACCCCCCTGCCTGCCGCCCACGCTTTCAGACCCCGTCCGCACCGCCCCCTGCCGCCCCCTGCCGCCCCCCTCCACCACCACCGCGTCCGACGCCTGAGCCACCCTCCAGCCCCGGCACCCGGCATGAATGGCCCAGCGCCCCCTTGGCGGCGTCCTGGCGGTCCTGGTGCGCATGCGCCGAGCGCCGTCCTTGCCTGTACCAACTCATTCGCCCGGCCCAAGCCCAAGCCCTGGCCCGGCCCTGCGCGCCCCGCGCCCCGCCCTGCCGTCCTGCCCTGCCACCCTGCCGCCCTCAAACCTCAAAGCTTGCCGCATGTTGTCCTGCCGAAGAGACCCTTGCTGCCACTTGGCCGCCGCGGCGTGGCGGGGCGTGGCGGGGCTGCTGCATCCCGATGACGCAGTGCAGGCGGCCTCCCTGCCCCGCCCCACCGGGGGCATGTCTATAATCACTCCGTTTCTTCTTTTCTACCTTTCTTTTCTACTTTTTTCGTCTGCAAGCGTTTATAACTTTCCAGACGATCAACAGCCACCCAAAAAATAATGTTATTCTCATGGAGAAGAGAAACTTTCAACCTGAGATATCTAAGAAATGGCCTAATGCAGACGGCTGATTGTTATCTGAAGACCCAAAACGGATAGGTTGTTGTTGGCAGACCAACTCTGCAGCCCGAGCACCGCGGTGCTCCTCGACAGCAAACTGATTCCGAGAGTCGTCTTCATCGCTCTGTCTCTCTCGCACTCACGGGGTGCCCCACACGCCAGGCCGCGGCACGCCAGGCCGGGTGACGCCGCCCTGTCCGTCGTCTTGCCGGTGTAGTCTCGCCGTTCTTGACAGGCCGCGGCCCCGCCGCCCCGCCGCCGTACAGTCGTCTTTGGGTCGCGTTTGGCCACGCCGGCTATTCCGGTCGACGCACGTTGCGATTATCGACCACCCATTGATTTGCGCGTGCCGTGTCGTGCCGTGGCGTGCCGTGGCTGACGTGTCCCGGCGACCCTTTGGCGTCACAACTCTGTGACACGTCCAGTTCGGTGTGGTTGGCAAGGGTCAGTGACAGCGCAGTGTGCTCTCGGCCTCGGCCGCCACTTTGGGCTCTTTGTCCTTGATCGGCCCTCTCTTATCCGCCTTCTATTTTCGAGTGGGGTGGCCCGGAGGCGCCCGGAGGCTCGAGAACAGGTTGTTCTGTCTGGAGGCCACAACCCCCCCTCCCCCACTAATGACGTGCCGCCCACCCACGTCGCTCCGTTCGGCCCGAAATGATGCCTCCCACCGCGACGCCCGCGGCGCCTCAAACATTTACAAGACTTACTTCCGTTCCTGGCCCTGCCTCGCCCCGCCTCGCCCCGCCTCGCCCCGCCGCAGTACACACGCGCCACCGAGTCTGCCCCGACGGGCCCTCCTTCACCACGTTGCGACACGACAAGTGCCCGCCTCCCTCTCCGCTTGTGAGTGAGACTCTATATTTACGATTGGTCTCCGCGCCGTGTGCGCTCCTTGTGTTCTTCGCGACCTTCGCCGAGGACGCGAGGAAGGCCGCTAAGTTGGCGAGTCGTTAGCCGGCCGAAATTCGGTGTACAATGGCAGCGAACCCGAGCGAGCCTCCATAAAAAGGGGTAAATAAAGCGGTGGCAGGGCTGCCAACCTCGGCCTGGAGGCAAACATCGGCCTGGAGGCTGGGACGCGAATACCAGTGCTCCATAAATTGGCCGAGGGAGGCGCAGGGTCGAGGGCAGGCCCGCTCATGAGCCTGTGAAGACATTCAGAATTAGGGAATTAACGTGACCGTTAATTAATGAAGCGTTGCAACGTATATTATGCCAGAAAGAAAAATATGGTCAACATTCCTGGCATGTAACAAACCAGGGGCTAATGATCGAGGAACGGGTACACCACAAAACCTGAGCATAGTTTTAGCTTACGCAAAAAAAAGGAGGGGTTGAGTCTTGTAATGAGTGCATGAAGACCGGTTCGGCTAATGAAGATGCGAAAGCGAAGGGGATTCCAGGAACACGGGGCGCGCTGTGGAGCTAGCTGAAATTCGCCAGCCGAAACGATATCGATTGTGAGGCCACTTTCCCTGACGTCAGAGGCGCGACAACGCCGAGCCAAAGCCCAGCCCCTTGTGCATAGTTGGGCGGCACGGCGGCGCGCTGTGGCGTGTCGTCCTATCTTCGTACACGAGAAGGGAAGCGAGCGAGCGGGCAGGCCGTTTCGACGCGGACTCCAGCAAACTTCCGGCCGATTGAGCTAGGCCGGGCTGGGCCGCTGACTTGAGCCTTTCACTGTACACTGTACACTAGTGCCAGCCATGCCAGCCATGCCAGCACTGCGGCACAGCCCGCAACTGTTCGCCGGCCCCAGCAGACTGTCGTTTACGCCGCCATGTCTCTCTCGCACCTCTACGGGACGCTCCGTGAGTGCGAGAGAGACAGAGTGACGGCTCTCGGAAATGGGTCTGCAGGCAGGCAGCCCTAACGGGTCGGTTGGTTCAATTGCGATGCCCTTCTCGCCGATTTTGATGGCAAAGCCAAAGTCACGGCCCGGTCGATGTGAAACAGTGAGGCACGGACGTGCTCGAGGACGTGCTCCAGCCGGCCAGCAGCACTGCGTGTCGCGGCCTCGCACGCCCGTGACCCCGTGACGCACGCCAGGGGCACGCCAGGGGCTCGGGGTACTCTCATTTATTAGGGGAACTCTCGGGGGGCGGCTCGTAAAAGTTCAGGCAGGTAAGGCTCAGCCAACAGCAGGACGACAAGAAAGTGAAGGGAAGGGCGACGCGTTTACGGAATATCGAATTTACGCGCCGCGTCGGTTTATTTCCAGGGAATTTCGATAAAAACACAGCAAAACGCAGTTGGAAAAACTCAAGGGCGTGCGGCTTAGGTACAACACTGTATTGAGAGAGAGTCCCTAAATCTGCGCTCAGCCCAAGCAGTCTCTTGGTTTTCTTTGAAGCCCTTCTGCTGCGCGCGCTGGGCCGCGCGCTGGGCCGCGCGTCGTGGCGGAGGTCTCCTTTCCAAGAAGACGCGTACCGTGCGCAGCGCGGCGCCGTGTTCCCTCAGAGGTTCTATTTCACGCACTTCGTGTGACGGTGCGCGGCAGGGCTCCACTGTAAAAAAAAAAAGTCCTCGCTCCTCGGTTCGCAAGGTCACCAAAGCTGGATTAAAAAATGTTGTTGCTAATCCACCGCTATTCTCGCGCACCATCGCTGGATCGTGGGTTTGGTGTCCGTGCGGAGTGGGCGTGTGGGCGGAGAGGGCCTTGCCGTCGACCTGCAGGGTGACAAGCCTCTGGAGACTTGGTTCCGACGAGTCGCTCTGTCCCTGTCGCACTCGGAAGGCCGTCCAGTAGGGTGCGAGAGAGACCGAACGGGGAACAACTCCTCGGTTGCCCTGCTGGAGGAAACCAGCAAGGATACGGTAGCTGCGCAGCTAGGCGGGCCTGGCGGGCCTGGTTCCGCGAAGTCGTGGATCAAGCAGGTCTGCGCTGCTGCCCGCGTCGCCCGCGTCCCGCCGCGTCCCCTGCGACGCGCGGCGGTCGCGGGGGTGGCGTCGTGGCGGCGGTCGCAGCGGTGGTGGCTGTAGAGCTGGCGGCATGGTGCTGGCGGTGGCGGCTGTAACGGGACACCTTGCCGTCCTCGCCCCCTGCCGCACCGCCGCCGCTGTTCTTTCTGCCGCCGTCATGGAGGAGAGGCCAGCACGTCATTATTCACCTATCACTGTCGACCTTGAACGTGATATGCCAGCCCAGAGGGCAGGGCGGGGCAGGGCCATTTTCCGCCTTTAGGGCTTGCGGGACTTGCATAAGTGGAGCCACACTGTGGTGCCGTCGCCGTCGTCGCCCACGGCGGCTGTGGCTGTGGTGGTGGTTCTGACTTGTTGCCGACTCGGCCTAGCCCACCAGGACGATCAAGACGATCAATACCTCGGTCAAGACTATCAGGACCTCGGTCAAGACGATCAAGACTTCGATCAAGACGATCAAGATGACCAAGACCGGGATCAAGACGACCAATAAAGACCTCTTTCAAGACGATCAAGAGATCGAACACGACGTCGGAGCGGATTCTGCTGCGCCTGTGATGCCGCTTCCGACTGCAGGGGCTGCAGGGGCTGCAGGCCGCAGGGCAAAGGGGAGCGACCAACTCCTTTCCGCTTCGGCGCACACAGCACTCACAGTGGCGCGGCTAGCCTCCAAAAGGGACGCCGCGGAAAGCTTCCTCCTTCGCTTTGCGGCTCTACGCTTGCCAGT